GGGAAACTAATCATACATGGTAACTCTGGAAAGGTATTGATGTGTATTTCATTCGAAATCAGTAACTTACTCCTATGCTGAGGGGTTAACCTTTTCACTACTAGTTCGCTCTTTTCATCACCAATTCGCGTCAATAATTTAATTGATGATGGTGGCTACAAGTTAACTAATTCTCAAGATTTATTTGCTAAACTTGCACAGAATGGCATTGCACCTAAAGTGTATTCTGTTCTTCATTTATTATGGGCGTGTTTTCGGACGACAAATCAGCTGCCCCCATGGTTATGAACACAAATAAAGGTTTACTTGAACCTAAACGATTGTGTTTTGGGGTGAAAACTGCTTCAGTAATACTTCAAGCAACTATGAACAAGATTTTATCCGGTATTATAATACAAAATGTGTTTTGTTACATCGATGATATTTTGATAGCGACGGACACGCATGACCAACATATGCGTACGCTTTTTGAGGTTTTTAAACGTTTAGACAAGTTTAATGTACGACTCAATCGTGAGTTTGAAGCCATCAATCAAATATTTGGGATATATACTCACCGTGGATGGTATCAAACCACTTCAAAACAAAGTGGAAGTCATTAAAATCGCACCAAGACCAGAAAATGTATCGGAGTTGAAATCATGCTTGGGATAAGTGAACTACAATGGAAAATTTGTGCAAAATCTTAGTTCAAAATTACATCCGCTCTATTCACTGTTACACCACTCCATGGACTGGGATTCGAATGTAAAATGTGAAGAAGCATTCCCATATGCCAAAAAACATGATGGTTAGGACCATGTATTAGTATATTACGATCCTTCAAAATCGCTAATATTAAGTGTAGATGCCAGCCCATATGGGTTGGTGCCGTTCTGAGTCATAAATTGGACGATAACAGAAAAACCTATTGCTTATGCATCGCGAACATTGGCAGCGGCCGAGAAAAAACTATGCATAAATCGACAAAGAAGGTTTAGCAATTGTGTGTTGGGAGTAAAGAAATTTGACTTGTATCTTTACAGTAAAGATTTCACACTTATTACCGACCATCAGCCGTTGACACGTATTTTTGGATCGCAAGCTAGAATATATCCCTCTCCTGCTGCCGCGCGAATGCAGAGGTAGGCTTTGCTTTTGTCACGTTATCAATACAAAATAGTCTATAGTTCATCAGAACAAAATGCTAATGCTGATTGACTTAGTAGATTACAATTGTATACAGTTACTGCAGACCCAGATGAGGAGAGAGTACATCAAGTGACAGTTTATGAGTTGTCTGTCACTGCCCAACAAATCGCTGAACAAACGCGAAAAGACACAATATTGTCAAAAGTTTTAAATTGTACATTGTCTGGATAGCCGAATCATACAGATAATGAGGCCATCAAACCATATTTCGTGAGGGGAGATGAACTCACTCTCGAAGATGATTGTATTTTATGAGGCAGAAGAGTTATTATTCCGGCCGCACAGAGCACACACATGTTGGGTGAACTTCACGAGCGCATCCAGGCATGTCTCGTATGAAAGCGCTGGCCGGTAGTTCGTGTGGTGGCCTGGTATCGACCAGGATATTGAAGATTTTGTAAGAACATATAACGAATGTATTGAAAATCATAATATTCCTGAAAAGGTTCTGCTTATATTGTTGCCTTGGGCTACGGAACCTTGGCAAAGAATTAATATTGATTTTGCTGAAATAAAAGGTCAATTATTCCTACTGGTGGTAGACAGTCATTCAAAATGGCTAGAATGATTTCCTATGAGTAGTAACACTTCAACTGCAACAATCAGTGCACTGCAATCTCTATTTGCAAGATATGCTTTACCACTCCAACTTGGGAGTGATAACGGACCACAATTTATATTGGAAGAATTCTCAACAATACTTGAGACGTGTGGAGCACACGTTATGTCTACCATACCATCCATATGGATTGACTGAAAAATATGTTCAAAATTTTAAAACAATAATGAAAAAATAAAAAAATTGTGCACTGCCACACCAATTGACAGATGCGTTATTTTGTTATAGGAATACTCCTCATACCACAACTGGGAAAACTCCATCAGAATTATTTCTGAAACGCGCTCCAAGAAATCTTCTGTCACTGGTAAAACCTAGCCTACAGCGAAAAGTTGTAGCAAAGCACAGCATTGTGGTAACAAACCAAAAATGCGTTCTTTTGATCTCTATCAGCCTGTGAGAGTAAGAAACATGAGGAAAGGGAAAGAAAAATGGATTCCTGGCACAATTGTAAAAATCAAGGGTCCATTAACATATTTAGTAAGACTACCAGAAAACAATAAACGATTTGTTCATGTTGAGCACCTCATTCAGTACCGTACCCTGATCAGCACTGCTTTATGAGTAGTGAATAAATTATGCCAAATGGTGTTGTTTTGCCTGCCAAAACTGAGCAGTTACCAAATAGTCATGAACTATCTATTTCTCATCCTACTTCAATTATTCCAAAGGTTAATTTAGACCAGATTCCCCAAACCAGAGCACCTGTTATAAGACGTTCAGGCAGAATAATTCGACCTCCAGTTCGATTTGAGCCATGATTTGTCATGGAATGATTGTTAGTGTTTGCAATTTTACATTTTAAGTGTTTTCTAATTTGCATAACACCCTTATGAATGCTTTCTTCTTAGCAACAGTATTTGATGGAATTGAATTGATTGTATATTAGAGAAAAGGTTTCTTCCTCAAGTTCTTATGTCATTATTTAGAGAGGAGGAATGATGTATCTTTGACTTTGCTATGGTTTCTTGTACTTTTATTCATTGAGTTGATGTTACATAATCACGTGTCATGACCATGACCTTATTAGCTGATCACATTATGCTATGTATGTTGTCATGAGCTAATCACGTGTTACGCAATAAAAAGGGCACATCACCGCTAACCCGTTAACTTGTGTGATTATGTTCCTCTTTATTCTGATGGTGAATTTGCACGTAGTTTACTTTGTAGAAACAAGCTACAAAACCATTCATGTGTAACGTGATGAATTTTTAATAAAAAGTTGTTGAGCCTATGCCATTGAAACATTCTTGCTAAATAATTCAGGTAGTCAAATTTCTGATCGTAAACTCTAACCTGTAAGTGTTAATAATTATAAAAATCAACTTCATCAGTTTCTTATAAATAAAATGTAAGGAAAACGTATCAGGGACATGAGAGTTCTAATAGAAATGTTATTACTGCCAGTGGCTACATCTAAAACATATTGTGATGAGCCCTTTTAACAATTTGCAGGATGAAAAAGTGTGATATTTTTGACAGCAATATTTTAAGTGAAGAATGGAGCTAGGTGTATACAAGTTGTATACTTGTTAGGAAGGAAACACTTTTAAGTGTTATTACCCTTATTAACTGATATCCAAAATGTAGTTGTTTAGTATACCATGCATAACGACTCCTCACCACTCTCACACTTTTGGAGATTAGACATGAGCACTGTGTCACTTTCGTAATACTAACTAGTGTCATAAGAACGGCATTCATGCGTGTCGTTTTAAACATGCAATTTCAAGCAGAACGTGCAATGTTTAAACAAAATAGTTAAAGTAAATTTATTTTAATCTTTATTTCAGTAGACCTAAACGTAACACAGGTGGTACATTACTAAACCTGAAATCTACCCGAACTAATCATCTTAACGAACATATAATGGCATTGTAATGAATGTGTTGCTTTTATCGTCGATGGTTTGAATTATTTGGAGAAGACAAACTGTATACAATACACGGTAATACATCGTGTGCAAGCATTATTGAATTCGGTGTACTAGTAATCTATTGACTTGTAGACAAGGCAAATGACAGCGTATAACATGGGTATTAGGTAGAATACAGCAACACAATACGTTCTATAGAGCAAATCGGTTTATCTGCGAGCCATTACATGTACAACAGTTTATTTTTGTATTTTGTAAAAACAGTTAGCATTTTATGCAAATGCTATTTCCTAATGAAACCAAATAATTGAGAGCCATGTGCCATCTAATTCTTCAGCCAGATTGTAAACATTTTGCTAATAACTCTTATTTGGCTAATTACTCTTTTTTCCACCTCTAAATACTAAAGTAGCTAAAGTAGCTGGGCAATAGAATGCTTCAAATAATGACTTTCCCAATTCGAAAATGTGTCATCAGTATATATTTGAACTGCTTTAGAAGAGTAGTTAAACTACTACAAGTCGTCCTGATTGTGTCTGTAATGACTCTAAAGTATACAAGCAAATATCGAACGTTTAATGTAAAGGACTTGGCTGAAACTATGTATATCTAAACATAGTACATACAAATATTGGGTTTTGAATGAAGAAATATTGAGTGCGTTGGCTACATTTTCTATTGGCAAAACATTAAATAACCCAGTTGACAGCGGACATGGACAATTGGAAATGTTATTATGGGTAACCGACCATCCAACTGTGAACCCAATTACATGTTCATATTAATTCACAAGGTTGATATAGAAACGTAATTACTTTTTTACAATTAGTGGCACTTCATAAAATTTTATTTCTCACGTAAATACAACTATATTTGTCACACGTTATTTCTAAATGGCAATCGATTAGCGTAATTAGTACATCGTCTTACAATACAAACGTACACCGGTCCTAGCAGTTGCAATCTAGTCATCATGCGATTAACACGCGTGTTGTTCTCAGCTAGTTTTCTGTTCACAGTCCATCAGCGCACTACTTTCACCAATGCGACATTGGTTGACATTGCCCAGCCGACGAAAATTATTTACTCCCCGTCTTTATTACCATGTATGGACTTGTGCGTCAGTATGGGTGGCACATGTATGTCCGTGTTGTTCAGTAACGTACTTTATATTTGTGAAATGTATGACCGTGCTACAGAAGACATCTTCTCTAACAACACTCTGAACAGGGGATGGATTGCTATGAATAAACCGCAGACATGGAAAACGCATGTAAGTATATAACTTTTCATAAGATTGTTGTTTTCTTGTAGTAATTATTACACAAATGTATTTGCGTTTTATCTTCCGTATTCCGTATTTCGGCTGTCGTAAAGTAAAGCTCTGCAACTGCTATTCAACGGGTATCTTACATGGAAATTCAAAAACTTATTTGGTGTTTCAAAACAAATAAATTTTTTACCTGTGTGACATGAAAGGCCACAAAACTACATTTAACCAGCTCTGTAAACACATATAAGTGCATGAGAATTAAAACCATATCACAGGCAAGTGTATTTGAATCACTTCAAAGGATTTCAAAGAATGTGGGTCATTTCGAAATGAGCTAGCCAAATTCGAGAGATTCAATATATGTGATTCAATACAATTCTTACTTTATGACACAGGTGTCTTTAAAAACAGGTTGATAGAGTTTAAATATTAAATACGTTATTCTGGAATTTATTTGGACGTTGTTGAGGGCTTAGTCATTGTGTCATTTGAAAGGTACATGGTAATTTTCGGAGCGGACATCCGGGCATTTTCATCGTCTGGAAACCATCACGATGGAAAAGACCGAAAACTATCAGAAAACAGTATCTTCGAACAGTTGTTCAGACTCCCCTGAATAATGCAAAACGATTACCCCTGCATGGTCAACATATATACATTTAATTGTTCAGGATTACTTCAAAGTTGAGTTTGTGTTGCTTTCTCGAATTTAGCTATTTTCACCGACTCTTCGACCGGCGTTCCACAGCAGCTCGCACAGAGCATGGGAATACATGGTAGAGTGGTGTGCGTCTTAGCAATGTAGAACGTCATGTAACGTAACTCCGCCCGAGGATTGGATCACTTAGAATGTTCATAATGTATAGCCATTTCGAAGTGATTCAGTGAGTGGGTTTAGTCGATGAGGCTTGGTGGTCAATAGAACATATTGATAATCGACATGAATAATTATATGCATTAAGCACCACCCTCTCTAACGCGAATTGGTACACGACCTAACTAAATAATTGAATTTACCAATCTCCTCTCGTCTACGAATTGGTACACGATTTTGCTAAATATATGCATTAGCCGACCCCCTTTCTTGTAAGAAAAGGTACTTAATTTTGCTTAATATATACACTAGCCAACCCCTTCTCTTGTACGAATTGGTACACGACTTGGCTAAATATATCCATTTACCAACACTCACTCAACAACACGACATGGCTGAATATATACATGGGCCAGACCCTCTCTGGTACGAATTGGTACAGGAGCTGGCTAAATATATGCATTAACCAATCCCCTCTCTTTTACAAATTGGTACACGACCTGGATAAATACTGTAAAACACGTCTTTTTAGCTAGCATGTTATTTTAGCTAATTTAGCTAATCTGTAATTTCGCTAATTCAAGATGCAGCTAATTTAAAAGAAAATCTATTCTTACAGGGAGATAATCGACACTTTAGCTAAATTAAGATTTTGTTAATTCACGCCAAATCCCCTAAAATTGCATGCAGCTATCTCAACGTGTTCTACAGTACATGCATTAACCCCCCAGCCCTCTAGCACGAACAAATTGGTATTCGACCTGGCTAAATACATTCCTTGGAGAAGTATCTGTTAACCCATCAAAGTTATTAGGTTTCATTTCCAAAAATGCAATCTTTGTCATAATGATGGAACTCGTAATTTTAAACCATTTCAAATAACCTAGGTTAAGGCATGTCATTTCAATAAGATTACTGTTAGGTATCATTTTGATGGAACTCGTAATTATGAGCCATTTCAAAATGGCTTGGTTATGGTATATTATTTTGAATGAATACAGCTATGTGTCGTGAATATGAGCTATTTTTAAAATGTCACGGTATATCTTTTTATGAGAAAATGCAACAATGTGTCAGTTTGCCGGAGTGTTATATCAGTGTCTAGATGAAAGTGTGTCATTTTTCAGGAATGCAGCGATGTGTGTTTTTTATAGAACTCGTAATGGTGTAATGATGTGTGTTGAAGGGCTTCAGTGGCTTTTGTATACACCCTCATCGTCCTAGGTTGTTTTATGTGTTATTGCACCCTAATAGGGCTTTATGTGCATGTTTGCATGCAAATGCTTCTATCTGGACGGGGTTTCCTATTTCCTATTGTTGTACAGAAATTGGGTTTCTAGAAAACCCAAACTCCAAGCACCTGCATAAAATTACTTAAGCTACTTATAGACACGACGTTTTTTCGTGAGTTGTTTATTGTTCTACGACAGCCTCGACGTTTATCTTCAATGCCTTAGGTTAGACAAACGTATAGTAATTTGCATATCTAGCAAGTCGCTGTTTCATCTGCCATCTTAACTGTGTACCAACAGGTTTCTTTTCTTCTGGCATCCACAAACATGTATTGGATGGCTTCATATGATCAGCTAACAAATACAATGTAATTCCTCCCAACTGTTTTATACCAGCAACATGCGACATGATGACAGTCTGGGATATGTTTGCACACTGAATTTGATAATACTACTGATAAAAGATTACGTTGGTACTGAACAAAGGGAACAAACGATTACCTCACTTACTACTGTTTCCAAGCCCCAAAAATAGACACTGAACAATATATACCTTGACAATCAATGACTTAATCTGTTGTCTTGAATAAACTTTGCATGTATTTATAGTCACTACACTGAGATATACAGGAAATCCTTTCTTGACCAGATTCTATTGTCAATTTCTGGCAATATGATGCACTACCTTGCATATTCCTTGGTGTTTAAATAACTTCACATTAGGCATACTTTTGACAGGTTACTCTGGTCATTGGTGGATCGGTGCCTGTCACCTGATCGGCACAGCACACAGAGGCGGTGGCATGAAATTTGTCGTGATCTTACTACAGTTTTCAGGGGCATTCTCCCCTTAAAAATTTGGAAATCAATACTCTCTAAAACGCTATGTCCTGCATTTGAGGGGCAAATGTGGCTGACGCAAAGGGTTTCAGCTTGATTTTGGAGGAACTTCAACATTTTTCGACCCCCCCCCCCCCGTGCCGCCGCCATTGACATACTCAAATACTAATACGCCAACTACATGGCAACTCACTGAGAAATAGTCATTTTAAAAGTTCCAAATAACATGCTCAGCTGGGTACGTCTTAATTACAGTTTTCAAAGTTGCCTTTTTTTCTTTCTTTAAATTATATTTTAATATACTGATATACATTTGTAAATTTTAACAATAATCACGAGTGAAAATAAATGTATATTTGAGTAGGCTTTATTAGTTAGGATTACTGCATTTGCTATGTATGTGAACTGCATTACTTGCACTAGTGTACCAGCAAATACTTTACTGTCTAACGATAAGACACAGTTATTCATATCATCTATGTTTTGTATATACACTCCCATTCTGTTAATAATTGCTGTATATTGCCTTTCACAGTTATCCAGAGATGCCTGTGCAAGTAACCCTTGTAATAGCAATGGATGGTGCGTTGCCGTGAAGGAAGACAATTACAGATGTACATGCAGACTTAAAAGTGGATACACGGGACAGAATTGTAATGTTCTGGGTATGTAATTTTAATCTTGACCATAACATGTTCTATGCACAATGAAGATCGTTGTTGACACGTGATACACGATTGTAATTGTTCTTTTCAACATATATTTACATGAGTTGTAGTAGAAACATATGTAGATTCTTGGTGTGAATGGACGACTTGGACCGACTGTAGCAGTACAGTGGCTATTGGATATCGTGAACGGAGTCGACACTGCATTCGTGGGTACGATGATGCAACTGTGGAAACTGATGGTTGTCAAGGACTGCCAGTCGAGTTTGAAAAATGTTATCCAGCTGAAGGTGGGTGGACATCGTACAACTTGAATATATATATATATATATATATATATATATATATATATATATGTATTCAAATTACACAATGGTTGGTGTGACTGGTGTGATTTCTAGCAATCGAATGAAGTTATTAAACGTTAAATATATTCTGTATCTGCAAATTTTATATGTATTAACCTCATTGTATTGACTGGTGAAAAATAGCGCTTATTCTATTTGTTCTAGGTATTTCAGTCAACAGCTTATATACTGAATTTTCCTACATGTATTATGCCGGGAAGTGATCTCTTATGAAGTGAAAACACATTTATATTGGAAGTTATAATGACGCATAGAAAATATTTCATGACATTACTGTTCGTTATTGTTAACGTTATTGTATTACGATTAGTTCCAGTTTTAAATACGAATGACAACTTGCCAATGCTCGAAACAGGTAAATATAATTGGATAGACAGTGTATGATGTATATGATGTATAGAATGTAGAAAGTGAGACAAGTATTGGCAGTTGGTCGACATTTTCTGACAAATTTTCAACTACATTTTATCATTTTAGGCGTAGCCATACCGCGGTTACATAGATCAGATGACATTGGTAATGGTACTCTGCAGTTATTTGTGAGAGGAAAATGAGTTGATGTGGTCGATATCGGTCAATGGGATGCAAATAATGCTATGGTTACTTGTAGACACCTTGGATTTCCCAGTGCTGTATCGGGTATGTTGAATGAATTTCCAATATTTTACGCAGATACAATAACATCAGACCATTGAATATATTATTGTTAGCAGTTGGGATTTGTAGCGTGAAATATCTCAAACTGATAAGGTATGGCAAACGAGTCTTCAAATACACAAAACAAACTAATCGTACGGTGGTACGGTGGCTCAAAGGGGAATTTTGGGGATTACTCGCTTCTGCAGTGTAGGGATGCCATAAGACCTTATAACGGAACACTGAAGTCATTCACACACCCATGTAGTCAGACACAGTCAGTTTCTGGAGTTGAGCTTCGATGTTCTTTAATATTAAGACACGTGAGCCACCCCTTGCTAGGTTATCGTAACAATCCGTCAAGACCTGCACCTGGTATATCGTCCCAACGTCCACCCCATTCAATTTCCCCCCTCCCCATTTAAGCGTTGGCGAGAAGTCAGTTCACAGTTCAGTTTTTGCAGTGTGGTGCAGTGTGGTGTCAGCATGATGCAAACATGACAGTGACATTAAATTAACTTACGATAACAATAACCTCTATTTGCTGAATTGAACTGGCATTACAATAATTATACAAAGTCGACGCAAAAGTGAATGGTGGCAAGGTTTTTTATATACAGGGACATTATTAGATAAAGTACAAAAAATATTCAAATATCGTAATTAATATAGGCTACACTTAGCCATTAATAATACTACTAATAATAATAAATTGTCAACGTGTTAAATACAATATATTATTGGAGGCAGTATTAGAATTACTCCTATAAATACGTCGTACATTATTTATTTGATTTTATTCAATATAGTATTTACATGGTAATTTATATAGTAATATCTGCACACAAAGGAATGCAATATCTATAAGGCAAGTCAAATTGTCATGACAGTAATGGTTTGTGTTTCTTATATGTTGCAGCTTGGTCTTTGGAAATGTTTGTACCAATCACCGGATCTGGGAGTGTAGTGAATTGCCAGGGCAGTGAACTGTCTCTTAGCGAATGTGAAACAACTGTGAAATGGATGACGTACACTAGATATGCTGGAGTGGCGTGTGATTTCATCGGTGCAAAATACATTTAAATTGAATTATACACTGTTACATTAGCAGGTCATATGCTATGACAGCACACAAAATATAAATGTGGATATATAATTTTATATTGAAAGTAGTTTGATGACGACAACTTAAAATGTTTGTGTTGCAAATTAGACGCATAGCAAGGTTTCACGCACACAAATCACGTTTTGTGATAGAAATGTACACAATTGCAACGCTATTACAATTTCAGGTAGTCTACACTTCATCTTTTCCCGTATATTTAAGAAAGTGTTTTGGTAGTTACACAATAATTATCCATGGTAGAACAAGCTCAGTTTTCCCCGACCATGTCGATCACAGAGTATTTTTGACGATGGAATCTGACACAGAGGTGAAATTAATTTTACAACTGCAGTCAACCATGTTCACTGGTCATCAACTACGAGTTCCAATTAACAAAACAAGGTCCAGCATGGTGATAATTAATTGACAAAACCCGGTCTACTATGGTCTTATTATAAAAAAACAAAAGCAGCTAAATTTGTGAATACTAATAAATACGTTATGAAATATTCACATTTTTCTCGCCACGCCTTGAATTATAATTAGGTATTGATTTGAACAAAGAAAGAGTACTTCTCAAGTAAATATTAAACATAAACTATTCGTTATCGAAGGTTAACGGTCTGTTAGAAGAATAGAGACGACGCAAACGTAGTATTAATAATAGTTGTAGGATGACTATGAGGAAACTAACATAGTCAACGTAACCTGCTCGGGGTCGCAGTAAGCAGTAAGCATCAAACTGAGAAGCTAATTTAGGTCGATACACTTAACACAATGCGGCTACTTGTCCGAAAAAATATATTTATTCGTATTCAACTATTGCAAACTATCCAGGAATGGTCTCATTGAACAGAATAGGCAATATATCTTGTTGTTTCAGATATAAATGAGTGCGCATCAAATCCGTGTTTAAATAACGGCACGTGTGTTGATGGTGTAGACAGTTATGTATGTAATTGTGTTGTTGGATATTCTGGTGATAACTGCCAAACTGGTAAGTAGTGATTTGACATTGCAGTGATTGCGCACTGCTTGGGCTGTACAATTATCCTCATATTGAATAACTAAAAATGTACTCATTTGAAAACGAAGCATGTAATTCTTCAATGAGGTTTTAATGTTAATAGGCAAGATATATGTTTGTTTCAGATATAAATGAATGTGCATCAAATCCATGTCTAAATAACGGTACGTGTGTTGATGGTGTAAACAGTTATGTATGTAATTGTGTTGATGGATATTCTGGTGATAACTGCCAGACTGGTAAGTAGTGATGTGACATTGGTGATTGCGCACTCCTTGGGTTATACAATTATCCTTATTTTGAACTACTAAAAATGTACTCGTTTGAAAACGAAGCATGTAATTCTTCAATGAGGTTTTAATGTTAATAGGCAAGATATATTTGTGTTTCAGATATAAATGAATGTGCATCAAATCCGTGTTTAAATAACCAAATCAAGTTTTCTGGCACAAACTCAATGGTTGGTAGAACCTTTTGTGTTGAAGTTCAAGATGCATATTGACCAGTGCTGTATACGTGTACAATGCAAACACTTAAAATCAACACAAATTCACAAAATTTTCATTTAAAAAAATTATTTTGAAACACAGAATACATCATAATTATTTAAAAAGTTACATCTCTGGTAAAGGTGGACCTCAAACATTTCGCCAAATATTAATAAAAATACAGACTGGCAGGTTTACCATAGCAATAAAGCACATACAGTACCTTATTCAATCAAATGCGAAGTGTATATCAAAAAATAACACCTGAAACATGGTACTCTGTTTTGCAAAACAAAATGATTTATTAAGAACACATTTTAAAGCATATGAACAGAAAAAAATTTGCATATTAGAAGCGTATTACCAATAGAAGCATATGTAAATAATTTCAGTGAGACTGCTGGCATGGGTGATTATAGTCCAAGGTCAACTTTTAAAAATCACATTCTGAGTAAACAAGTATGATTATGTAGAGCAGACCAGCATATAAAATAATAAACAATTATATACAAAATCTGAAAAATGTATTCGCTCTCTCACAGCTGTTATCAAAGAAAATCC